ACATTGGCCTATCGCTTGTACTAATAAAGTGCCAAGGGCCTAAGTGGTCACCTTAATATTTAAAAAAAAAAAAAAAAGAATAGAAAAAGAAATTAAGACAAGAAATATAATAAAAAGTAAGTATAATAGTCAGGTTTTTAAATAGAGGGTGTTGTCAATTTTTGGTAGTCAAAATTGCAAATATTGTATAGGATCTTAGTTAATAAAAAACTTGGGTTTAGAGTTGTAAGAGCTAAAGTAATGCAGACAACAATGACAATTAGGCTTGGGATCAGATGAAATTGTAAGTCAGGAAAGACTATCAGCATTCGAATGCTGTTTTCCAGATTAATGAATTACAATGAAGTCATACTCCTACAATACTAAAATCCAACAGGCTAAACAGTCTTTTGGCAAGGTGTTTTTTTCAATAGGGATCTAAGAGCAGAATGATCTATAATTAAGGTGAAACAGCTTCTGTAGAGGTAATGCCAGAAATAAGAGGTGGTCTATACAATAGCAAAACATTCTTGCTCTATTACTGAATAATTTTTCTTAGCTGCTATTATTAATCAACTGGTATAATGAATAACTCTCTCTCTTTCTTGAGAGTTCTTTTGAGAGAGTAATGCTTCCAGGGTAGCACCGGAGGCATTTGTAAAAGGTATAAATGCCTTTTCAAAATCAGGATAGGCCAGAATTGGAGCAGTTATTAACTTTTTCTTGAGAATAGCAAAGGTAGCTTCTTGTGCACTCGTCCACAAATACTTGATATTTTTTTTTAACAATAAGTTAAGTAGAGCTACAATGCTTGAAAAATCTTTAATAAACTGGTAGCAATAAGAAGCCAGTTCTATAAACCCACATAGTTGTTAAAGGTTGGAAGAGATAGAAAGGTTTTTGATAGCTTATACCTTTTTGGGGTCGTGGAGATCTCATTAGAGTTAACTATATAACCCAGGAACTTAAGTTTTTTTTTTACAAAATAGCACTTCTTAGAGTTTAACTTTAGATCTGCAACTTGGAGATGGTCAAAAACCTTAGTAAGGTAAACAAGATGTTTATCAAAAGAGCAAAAAAAAATATTAAGTTTATCCAGATATATAACCACATATTGGCCGATTATATCACTAAAAATTCTATCCATTAATCTTTGAAAAGTTGCTGGAGCATTAGTGAGGCTGAAAGGCATCACATTAAACTTGAAGGTACCGAATTGAGAAATAAAGATAGTTTTTTCTTTATCATTAGAGTTTATCTCAATTTGCCAGTACTTACTAGTCAAATCTGGAGAAGTATACTAGTAAGAAAATCGAAGAGTATCTAGAAGATCATCTATATGGTCAAAGAATATCTATTTTTCTTAGTTACTGCATTTAGGCATTAATAATCTATGCAGAACTGGGTTTTGTCTTTCTGCTTAACAAGCACTATAAGAGAGGCCCACAGGCTTTTGGAAGGTTAAATAATTTCATTATCCAATATTCTACCAATTTTTTCTTAAAAAAAATCTTTTTCTTTAGAGATAGTTCTGTAGTATCTTTGTTGAATGGGCTGGGATTATCAGTTTGAATATTATGGGTTACAAGATTAGTTTGTCCCAAATCCTAGGGCGTCTAGACAAAAGGTCACTATAATGTGTTAATATCTCCTCTATTTTATCATGGTTATCATCATCAAGTTTGCCTATATCTAAGTCATAAAAGGACTCTTCCAAGTCATTGTGATAGAATTCACTACTCATTCTTTTACTGTTATCCGAATTGGAAAGATCATACCTGGAAAAACTATTATTAGAGCAAAACAGGTTTTTTTTTGCTCATAATCATTATCACTATTCATTTTCCACCATGCTTTGTAGACCCCAAACTTTCAGGTTGTTCATTATATTTTAAGACTTCTGATTCTTCATCTGAATCTTTATAACATGAGAATACTTTATTTTAATAATAGTAGTCAAGTGGCTGCTCTTCTTCCTCTGAATATCTGAAGAGTCTATTTTCTAGCTTTTTTTCTTCATGTTCACTTTTGGTTTCTTCTTCTGAAGCTAAATTCTCAGAATCATTACTGTCTTCTGCAATGAGCTAAGTAATTTTCAGAGGTCATTTATTTTCATTTGGAGTATATTGAAGCTTTCAAAATTCTACCAGAACAGTTATATTCTTGTTTTTCCAGTAGAAGGTCATTTTAAAAGTGTTGTAATCAATTTTCGCATTTACCCAGAAAAGCCAATCATTATCAATAATGGCTTTGTAGGATATAGCATCTGTTACAACTACATCGACAGAAACTAAAACTCCTCCAATAGCAAATAGGAAGTTCGATATTTCTCCAATAGCTTGTTTGCTTTGTCCATGAATGTTGACCATATTGACAGTTGATGGATATTCTACTTTGATACCCAATTCACTCAGCAGATTAGAGATAACCACACTCCCAGATAAACTGCTGTCGACTATAAGAGGAACAACTTTCTCATATATAGTAGTATTACATATATAATAGCTGTCAACTTTGAAGTGGGATTAAAATTAATATATGTTTTGTCTTCTTCCTTTTTACTGGAGCTTTCTTTTTTTTTTTTGAAAGTTCAGTTTGCATTGAAGGGACCACTCTCAACAATTGCCCTATAGTTATATTAGCAGGCTTATCCCTAATATTTGCCATGATTAAATATAGGAGAACCAATGCTGAGATTTGTAGTAAATTATTTTCAACTTTTTTCTTTCTAGCAGAGGCTGTTATTCTTTGGCAGTCTTGGGTCCCTGGAGAACCATGGTAATAGGCTTCGAGTTTTCTTGGTCAGTTTCTTGTTGTTCCAAGGCCACTTCTTCAACATGCTACTTTTTTACTACATGTGTGCTGTGCTGGTTTTTCAACTTCTTCAGCGAGAAAAAAATAAAGGATCCAAGACTTCTTTATGCAGATTCAAAAAGTCTGAGCTTCATTGCCTCTATTCTGGGGGTTGACTGTTATTGTTGTTTAGTGGTGGGTTATTAGAGGCACTATTATTTTGTCCTTCTAGAATAGTATTGGCTTCAATGGCTACATTGTTACTGGGATTCTAAGAAGGTGGGTTGGGACAATTTCTTGCCTACAATAATTATAGTTGAATCTGTTAGTATTGTTCCAGTTGTTGGGGCCATGATATGGAGGTTATCAGTTCTCTTGCAGCTCCATTACCATAGTAGTTATAGCTTCAGATGACTTGAAAAGTGGGTCTTCCAGTTTTGGAATATTAGGTAAAGCTGCAACTATTGTTGGGTGACCTGGCAGAGGCAAATTTGAATAGATATAACCCAATATAAGTTGAATATATATAGAATAAATAGAAGTTGTAGCTAAAAGAGTTTTGTTTGAAAGAATTTTTGAAAGCCTTGGCCCTTTCATAGGTAGTAGCTAAGAAGTTTGGTATAAAAGAAACAATAGAAGTTGCAAGTTCCAATCTAAGGCTATTAATAAATATCTGGGCATTAGCTATATTGGGATAACGATAACTATCTGATTCGACTTGACATTGTTACAGAGTAAAGCCTTCTTAATTTACTCTATATTGACAACATGGCACAGGGAATCTTTTCATAGGTATATGCGGTGTCCAAGAGGTAAGTATAGCTTCTTTTCTCTTTAAGAAACTATACCCTTCTCTAAGGC